GTTAAATTGTTCATCATGGAGATTCAAAACCAAGAAAACTGGTCAAACCGGTCGGAGATGGTCAAATTTTCGTGAGCCCGCGCTCAAATGTTGCGACAGCGCACATCAGTCTGGACCGCGTCGGGACTTGGGATCAAGTTTGCAATCCAAGATGGCCGGCCGGAATTGAGACGAGTTTGCTTACAATTCGCGGCTGTAATCTTGTTTAATATCGACAGGAGAGGCTCTCTAAAGGGATCGAACTTAAATAGTTAAAATTCAGGTACGTATATAATCTGAAGAGTAGTTTTGCCTTAGACAGGAGCAACAAATTGACTTTATACAATTGGGCCAAACATGTTATGTAAGCGGTTACACAAGTAAGCTTCGATTTTTGTGCGGTCGTATCAGTTTCTCTGTACATCCCTTCGTTGTGGTGTGTACCTTTCACTGATCCATAGCATGGATTTTGCGTATAACAGACCAGCTGTATATTGTCTTTTTGCTTGGTTCAAAATTAAAACAAAATTTTATATTTTCACTCCATTTTTACAATATGAAAGTAAGCTTACTGGATTCTGAGCTTTGAGAGAAATAGTGCCTCGCCGTTTTGAATTTTACGATACAGCATCTCCAAAGGAAAGCTGTTGAAATATAGCAGTAAAATATACAGTGTAAAGCTCAATCTCAGCTGATCTCACGACCGCATTTTAACTACTACCAACTACAATCAAAAATATTCTTTTCCTTCTCTGGAATCATGATTAAAAAATAAATAATTTCCTGTACTCAGAGCGCAATAAAAGTTTGCAAGTGGAATATTTCTTTCCACCCAACTGAATGTCATCTGTCACATTAAAAATGGGGTTTTGACAAAACACTGATCCCCTAATTGATCCCTACAAAATCAATGGGAAACTGAAATTAAAACAAGCTCAGAACTATCAATGGCACCGCTTCATGTTCAGTAATAAATATAGCTTACCTGACATTTCCAATTTGGTGGACGAGTTCCAGATTTCCGACTCTCTTCTCCTTTGATGGTAGGTGCAGGTATCGTTTACGGCAAGTCTGGCACAGAATTAGTTGAAATATCATCAAGTATAGTATTCGTGCCTATTAGCAAATTTAGCAATGAAAGTAATGAAGAGAAGAAATAAGGTCGTAAGTGACCCTGGGCGACACACACACAATACATCAACCGGAAGTCACATGAGTGATTATAGGATGAACTTTCACCATGATAAAATCGCTAATTTAATAGGTACTGAACGGACTCTTTCCCACCACCCAACAAAAAATGTCACCACCCTCTGTAGAATCAAGTGAAATATTAACTGTCATAATTGCTTTAAACATTGGGAATATAGGCTTGTCCTTGGTCAAGCTCAATCAGTGCCTTGTTGTTCATTTGAGGTGGTAGATGATTGTGTTGTTCACCATTAACAAGGCCATTAATATTATTACATGTGTCTGTTAAACCAAAATAAGTTACTTTGAGATCCGTGGACCTTTAGACGACCATATGCATCAAGGAGAAAATTGTCCAAACCCACTTTTTAATTTGAATACTGGCTTGAGGAAAATTGGCGAGACACCTGAAACTACCATGCAAAAATCGACTTCCGGTTAATGTTTACGTAATGCGTGTTTGTGTCACCCACGGTCAATCACAAGCATGTTAGTATTGCCAGCGTTTCTTTGTTACTTTCATTGTTTGGTTTTCAGATGGGTATGAATACCATCCTTGATAATATTCTAACTTATTCTGTACTCGGTTTCCATAAACAAAGCCTGCACTTACCATCAAAGGAGAAGAGAGTTGGAAGTCCGCAACTCGTCTGCCATCTGGCGAATTTCGGGGAAGCTAAATTTATTAGTGAACTTTAAGCGGTCCTATTGATAGTTCTGGGTTTGTTTAAATTTTATTTTCCATTAATTTGATAGGGGGTCTGTAGGGGGATCATTAGGGTGTCGGCTGATTTGGGGTCAGTGCTTTGTCCAAACCGTTAAAAATGTGCATGGTAAGATGATTTATATTATCCTCATAACTGTCTCCAGGGCACTAGAATAATTACCAATTTATCCACGAGTGAGCATTGGATTTGAGATGGTAGCTAGCCAATGAGGCACATAGCACTGTGTTGGCTATAATCATCTCATATGCAACAAGCATGAGTAGAATAATAATATTGTCTTAAAATAACCCTCCCCCTAAAAAAATATATAGAAAACTAAACTAAACTAAAAATCATGTGTTTGCTTACCATATTCGTAGAGCATGGTATAATCAAAACTCTCAAATTGCATTATCCAATGATCCAGTTGATGTCAGATAAAGTCACGGGATGCTCTTCGGAAAATTTGATTTAAACCCCTCAATGAGACCAATCTGGGTGTGTTTGAAGCTTTATTTGACCCTTCAAAATACCACTGAGACCAAAATCCATAAATTTACACCCTTAAGCGAGATAATGAGTGTCCTCGACCTTTTCACATGGAAGCCCCAGGGAGTTGATTGTGGCCAGTTGGTGGTTGGATTAAGATTTTCCATAATTTACAATAAGGTAACATAATGCTCACTTGCCTGAGTGCATTGTTGGAGATGTATAAGCACAAGGGAATTTTCACGAACACAAGAAGTACGGTCACATAGCATAAGGCAGAGCTGAGTGCTTCTTACAGTTCTTAAAAATTAACAACGGTTTGCATAATTAATTTTATGATAGAATTTTGTGTGAGAAATATTACAAGATGGTAAACATATTTACCAATGGAGAACTTTGATGACGTCACACAATATCAATGTTTTTTATATATTTAAATATCATTAACAACCCCATAAATCAGGTTATCATGCCAAATTTAGTACATATATGAAGTTCCATAAGAACCCAATAGTGAATATCAGGGTGCAAATGCTTGCCCCCTTGTTACGTCGCTCAAAACAGTTTCCAGCACTTTCCAAGACTTTTTATCAGTTGATGCTACAATCATGGTATCAAAAAACTGCCCAATCTTTAGTGTACCTACCTGTGAGACAAAAGGTTACCATAGCAACAAAATTACCTGCTGAACCACCCTTAATTTTAGCATTAAGTATTAACATTTCAAAAACAGTGTGGCGAAACCCATTTTACATTAACTATCAAATTTTGATAAGCTGGATAAGAATTGATTTTGGCTTCATACACATGACTGTGTTACTGCTGCAGGCGACCTTTTTCTAAGGGTCACCCCAAGATCAAGAGACACCCTGGTTCCTTGTATATGATACCTTGTTTAAGCCCATCTTTGTAAATCCACTTCACTGCAATTGTGCATGTATGAGAAGTATTCATTGTTCCAGATTTTCCAACATATATATTTTTTAAAATGTTACTTATTCAATCAGCATTTCTTTATTTTCACTGACTAGTCAATTCACGAAGCTTGTGTTTTTGTTTTTGTTTTTTATGGAAAAGGAGCTGTTGAATGGATCAGTGTTAAAGGTGATGTTCTTCAGCTGAGAAGGGGACTTTTCATTAAAGAATACATGATGTACAAGATGAACCTGTTGGTGCACTGTAATAGCAGGATTGCCCTCTTGTGCACTAGAAAAGCTACTAAAAGGGCAATACATTCCTTTGCTCCATCTGTTTTGATGCCCCAAGTTAACAAAACAACAAACGGTTTTTACACCACTTTGTGCTCGTCAGTCCAAACTGCAAAGTTGAGAGGAAAAGTCTTGACAGAGCCGAAATGTTTTGCGTCACAGCTTAACCAGGGCCTCGCTGGTCTACCAGCTTCTTACGTGAGGGAATTGGAGCTTAATAAAGAGATATTGTTAAGGTCTACAGTGCAGGAACAACTGGAATTTTACGAGTCTTGGAAGGACCAAGCCTCGCTGACCAACAGAATAACAATGCTTCATCACATGGCGAAGATTGTCCAGAAACATAAAGTCCAAGCAGAAGTTTTGCAGAAAGAAAAAGAAAAAGTCTTGTATGGGGGAGAAAGTGCGTACATTGAAATCCTAGATTTCATTGCTGATAACATCCTTGCGTGTAAAGCTCAAGGACTCGCCAACGTCTTGTGGTCCTTGGGGAAACTCAAAGAGCGTGACCACCGTCTCGTGAAAGTCTGTTTAAGAGAAATTTCGTTTCACGATGTCGCTTTCTTTTACAAAGCAGAGGTCTGCCAGATCTTGAATGGGTTGACTGAGTTGAAAGTGAAAGACTCGCGAGTCTTCAAGCGAGTCGAGGGAGCCATTTTGGACGGCAAAATCAAGATATCCCGTTTCGAAAAGCGACAAATTGCTGGAATTCTGACATCATTTATTAAGATGGGCTACGGTAGCGAAGATTTCTACAAAACAGTTGAAGCTGAAATTGTGGAAAGGGGTTTCAGAATGTTTCACAACGGAGAAATAACCCAGATCTTACGCGCGCTTGCCATCATGGACATCTCCTCTGATAGCTTTTTCAACAAAGCTGAAAGGGAGATTCTGCGGCGTTCGCCATTTAAACTGCTCAGAACTGAGCTCGTTGCGATTCTGAGAGCGTTTGCGATGGCAGGTGTAGGAAGTGAAGAGCTCTTTGCAGCGTTTGATAAAGAAATAGTCACCAGACGGGTCAAAGATTACTATTCACTGCCTCTTTGTTGGATAATCTGGGCATTTGCTACAAGACGAATGACAAGCTGTAGAGTGTTTAGAGTTGTTGCCGAGGAGATCTACAAGCGAGGTTTCAATAACCTCGAAAATGGCGAGTTAGCCCTTTGCCTCTATTCGTACGTGTTGTCAGAAATTCCTTGTGGTGCGTTTTTGAAGGCACTCGAGACAGAACTATTGTCGAGGGACTTAGAAACATTTGGAAGCATTCAGCTGTGTCAAGTGCTTTGGTCTTGTACAAAAGCTGGGTTATTGAACCCAAAACTGCTACAGGATTTGGAAGACAAGATTTTGCAACAGATTGCTTCACAGAATGAAGGAAGAGTGACTGTTGAAGGTTTCCTTGGTGCTGAGACGGGAAGCCAAGAACGACTTCATTATTTGCAAAAAATGTGTGCTTTAGCACCATAGAGTGTACAGTCTTTCTCTTGTGGTTTTCGCTCCAATGCAAGTTGTTTACTTTGGTGTCAAATTATTATTTTTTCTTTGCTGAGCTCTCAATAAAATGTTTCAATGAAACAATTTGAAGGGCCAAAGTTTACTGACGTTGCTGGTGCGTGGAAGGCGAACGTGAGTCACACGCGTGAAAGGGGAACGTGAGTCACACCCGCGCAAGGCGAGTCCTAGGCTCACTCGTCTCGTGCTCTATCGGGTACCCGCGAACTTCTTTTTCCCACACCCAAGTTCAGGTCTCCTCTATTGCTGTAACTGATTTGCTTAGGACAGTGGAAGAGGAGAAAAAAGTCCCCCAGGAATGGATAGCTGTTCGATACCACTGATTGCATGACTGACCCTACAGACAACTATAATGTTCTTTCTGCAGCCTGTGTGTAGACGTTTAGAAGCTTTTTCCTTTGTTTCACGCGGAAAGTGAAATAAAGAAAATAGACTGTGCACGTGGTTTAAACTTTTTTCCCGTTCTGCTGGCAGCTTTATTTCGCTCTATACCCCACTAGGGATCCTGGTCCAGGTGTTATTTTAGCATTTGCCTAGTCTCTAGGCCTCGATATTTCGACTCGATCAATCTTTTTCGCGTCACGTGGTCCGAGGCAAAAAGTTTGTCTCGGACACGTCACCAAAACCAATTGACCCTGGAGGCCTGGTTGAAAGCCGTACAGGAACCAGGCAAGGTTAGTATGGGAGTAATACAAAGAAACAGTGAAAAAAAAAGGTAGGAGAGGAGTGTCGCGCGAAAAAGCTTCCTACACCACTTCCCCATCCCCCACCCCCACCCCCTGTGTACCGTGGATCATGATTCAGTCTTGATCCTCTCTCGTGGATCAAGCGTACGAGAAGCGAGAAGCGAGAAACACACGAGCGAAATAAGCGGTCGACGATTAATTTCGAAGAGCTGCAGTTCGCAACCAAGGTACGCCAAGAATGAATAAACACGGGGGCTCAGTTATTTTATAAAGCTCGAGATTTTTTTCACTTATAACGGTTTGTAACATTACAAAGCGTAACGTATTCTACACAACAAGACAGGTACAACGCGCACATACCAAAACAAAACGTAACGTAGTCCACGTGAGCACGTAACAAAGCGAGAAACACACGAGCGAAATAAGCGGTCGACGATTAATTTCGAAGAGCTGCAGTTCGCAACCAAGGTACGCCAAGAATGAATAAACACGGGGGCTCAGTTATTTTATAAAGCTCGAGATTTTTTTCACTTATAACGGTTTGTAACATTACAAAGCGTAACGTATTCTACACAACAAGACAGGTACAACGCGCACATACCAAAACAAAACGTAACGTAGTCCACGTGAGCACGTAACAAAGCGAGAAACACACGAGCGAAATAAGCGGTCGACGATTAATTTCGAAGAGCTGCAGTTCGCAACCAAGGTACGCCAAGAATGAATAAACACGGGGGCTCAGTTATTTTATAAAGCTCGAGATTTTTTTCACTTATAACGGTTTGTAACATTACAAAGCGTAACGTATTCTACACAACAAGACAGGTACAACGCGCACATACCAAAACAAAACGTAACGTAGTCCACGTGAGCACGTAACAAAGCGAGAAACACACGAGCGAAATAAGCGGTCGACGATTAATTTCGAAGAGCTGCAGTTCGCAACCAAGGTACGCCAAGAATGAATAAACACGGGGGCTCAGTTATTTTATAAAGCTCGAGATTTTTTTCACTTATAACGGTTTGTAACATTACAAAGCGTAACGTATTCTACACAACAAGACAGGTACAACGCGCACATACCAAAACAAAACGTAACGTAGTCCACGTGAGCACGTAACAAAGCGAGAAACACACGAGCGAAATAAGCGGTCGACGATTAATTTCGAAGAGCTGCAGTTCGCAACCAAGGTACGCCAAGAATGAATAAACACGGGGGCTCAGTTATTTTATAAAGCTCGAGATTTTTTTCACTTATAACGGTTTGTAACATTACAAAGCGTAACGTATTCTACACAACAAGACAGGTACAACGCGCACATACCAAAACAAAACGTAACGTAGTCCACGTGAGCACGTAACAAAGCGAGAAACACACGAGCGAAATAAGCGGTCGACGATTAATTTCGAAGAGCTGCAGTTCGCAACCAAGGTACGCCAAGAATGAATAAACACGGGGGCTCAGTTATTTTATAAAGCTCGAGATTTTTTTCACTTATAACGGTTTGTAACATTACAAAGCGTAACGTATTCTACACAACAAGACAGGTACAACGCGCACATACCAAAACAAAACGTAACGTAGTCCACGTGAGCACGTAACAAAGCGAGAAACACACGAGCGAAATAAGCGGTCGACGATTAATTTCGAAGAGCTGCAGTTCGCAACCAAGGTACGCCAAGAATGAATAAACACGGGGGCTCAGTTATTTTATAAAGCTCGAGATTTTTTTCACTTATAACGGTTTGTAACATTACAAAGCGTAACGTATTCTACACAACAAGACAGGTACAACGCGCACATACCAAAACAAAACGTAACGTAGTCCACGTGAGCACGTAACAAAGCGAGAAACACACGAGCGAAATAAGCGGTCGACGATTAATTTCGAAGAGCTGCAGTTCGCAACCAAGGTACGCCAAGAATGAATAAACACGGGGGCTCAGTTATTTTATAAAGCTCGAGATTTTTTTCACTTATAACGGTTTGTAACATTACAAAGCGTAACGTATTCTACACAACAAGACAGGTACAACGCGCACATACCAAAACAAAACGTAACGTAGTCCACGTGAGCACGTAACAAAGCGAGAAACACACGAGCGAAATAAGCGGTCGACGATTAATTTCGAAGAGCTGCAGTTCGCAACCAAGGTACGCCAAGAATGAATAAACACGGGGGCTCAGTTATTTTATAAAGCTCGAGATTTTTTTCACTTATAACGGTTTGTAACATTACAAAGCGTAACGTATTCTACACAACAAGACAGGTACAACGCGCACATACCAAAACAAAACGTAACGTAGTCCACGTGAGCACGTAACAAAGCGAGAAACACACGAGCGAAATAAGCGGTCGACGATTAATTTCGAAGAGCTGCAGTTCGCAACCAAGGTACGCCAAGAATGAATAAACACGGGGGCTCAGTTATTTTATAAAGCTCGAGATTTTTTTCACTTATAACGGTTTGTAACATTACAAAGCGTAACGTATTCTACACAACAAGACAGGTACAACGCGCACATACCAAAACAAAACGTAACGTAGTCCACGTGAGCACGTAACAAAGCGAGAAACACACGAGCGAAATAAGCGGTCGACGATTAATTTCGAAGAGCTGCAGTTCGCAACCAAGGTACGCCAAGAATGAATAAACACGGGGGCTCAGTTATTTTATAAAGCTCGAGATTTTTTTCACTTATAACGGTTTGTAACATTACAAAGCGTAACGTATTCTACACAACAAGACAGGTACAACGCGCACATACCAAAACAAAACGTAACGTAGTCCACGTGAGCACGTAACAAAGCGAGAAACACACGAGCGAAATAAGCGGTCGACGATTAATTTCGAAGAGCTGCAGTTCGCAACCAAGGTACGCCAAGAATGAATAAACACGGGGGCTCAGTTATTTTATAAAGCTCGAGATTTTTTTCACTTATAACGGTTTGTAACATTACAAAGCGTAACGTATTCTACACAACAAGACAGGTACAACGCGCACATACCAAAACAAAACGTAACGTAGTCCACGTGAGCACGTAACAAAGCGAGAAACACACGAGCGAAATAAGCGGTCGACGATTAATTTCGAAGAGCTGCAGTTCGCAACCAAGGTACGCCAAGAATGAATAAACACGGGGGCTCAGTTATTTTATAAAGCTCGAGATTTTTTTCACTTATAACGGTTTGTAACATTACAAAGCGTAACGTATTCTACACAACAAGACAGGTACAACGCGCACATACCAAAACAAAACGTAACGTAGTCCACGTGAGCACGTAACATATATCACACAACGTAACGTTCAGAGCATAAAGTATTTTACACAACTAGGCGGGCGGGTGCTCTTGACATGCACTACAAAGCGTAACGTAACAACGAAGCACAAATAACGCGCACGTGCCATAACAAAACGTTGCGCGGTCCACGTAAAACACATAACGTATTCCACACTACGTAACGTACAGAGCGTAACGTGTTCCACACAACTAGGCAGGCGGGTGCTCGTGACACTCACTGTAACGTACTAATGTAACAACGTAGCGAAGCAGAAAAAGCGCGCACATGCCATAACAAAACGTAACGTATTCCACGTAAAGCACGTGTAATGTAACACAACGTAACCTGGCCCACACAACCAGGAGCCATAACCGCCATACTCCTACAAAGCGTAGCTAACGAAACATAACGCGTGTGTGACGCAACGCAGAAGTAACATTTCGGCGAAGTCGAGCTTAAGGACAATCCACCGCATTGTCAAGAATCGTTTTACAACGTTTCTGCAAATCCTGTTTGCCTTGCTGATCTAGTAACGAAAGTTGCCGTGACCTTCGAGTTCTTCTCTTTTTCTTGCAAGTCACTCCCTTACTATTTGAAACTCCTTTATCAAGTGTTGTAGAGGATTTTATCCTTACACTAACACTTTCACCGACTCTCTGCAACTTCAAGATTTTTGGTTTCTGTCCTATAAGCGATGCTTTCTTAGCAGCTTGAATTCCTTGCCTGACAGATATTGTGATTGTGGGTGTTGACCTGTCCACATTCGCTTTCATCAATGGTGCAGCCAGCGAACAAGCATACGCGTAATCCACCGCACATCTGCAATTAAAACTGAGTGATCAGCATCTGACTTCTCCTCACTAAATCTATACGTTGTCAGACAGGAAGGTAATGAGAAGCTTTCAAAATGATGGGGATTTTTGTCCCCCATGAGGGCGTGGCTGGTCAGATACCCCCTCCCCCAGTTAATTGCTCGTGCAACTGGTTCTCACCCTATAGGTAGAAAAAATGGCAAAAATGGAAAAAGTTGTCAAAAATGAGGAACAAAACGTTTCAAGAGGAGTGGAGGTTAATTTCATTGTGACGGCAAGAATCATTGAAAGTAGACTTACAGTTTCTTCGCAAACACTTGCTTTTCACAAGCCATCACTTCTTGTGCAACTCCAGCGGTAGATAAGGAAGACTTCACGATAATGGACCACATATGAGAAATACACTGCCGCACCTGAACACAAACAAACAAAATTAGACTTCTGACTAGGCCATTGTTAGCTTGAAACTGAGGTGCTCTTCTTGTTTGTGGCAGGGAAGTGGTTAGTGTGCTCGACTCTGGATTGAGCAGCCTGGCTGGCAACATTGCACTGTGTTCATGGGCAAGACACTTTACTCTTACAGTGCCTCTCTACACCCAGGTGTATAAATGGATACTGGCAAATTTAATGCTGGGGGGTAACCCTGCAGTAAAATAGCACCCAATCCAGGGGGGAGTAGAAATACTCCTAGTCGCCTCATGCTACAGAAACCAGAGATAAGCGCCAGTAGAATATGCTGCCCACTACATTGACCAATCACAGTACGTGTAGAGAAGAATTAGTAGAGAAATTAGACCAATGAAAATTAAATGACTCGCTTACAAAATGAAACAAAAGTACTTGTTACTAACCCTGACTGGCCGTGCACCCCAATCCAGCATCTTCTTTTCTGCCTCCACTGGAGCGATATTACAATTTGTGAAGAAAGCAATCAGAGTGTCTGCCATTAAACAAGAAAATGCAGTTGGTCTCCATCGTGTCTCGGCTGGCTCCGCACAGAAGAAGCACTATAATGTAACATAAGAGAGCAAGACAGGTCCAGATGTGCTTATAAAAAAAGCTGGAGGGGTGGGTGGGGTGAAAGTGTCATAACGTGTGTAAGGGAAATCTTTTCTTCCAACAAAAATGAGTACCCAGGCCCCCTAGGTCCCTCCACTTTAATCTGCCACAGGAGAAAACAGAGTTAAGTTATGTTACATGTATGTAAATGATGTAAGGTGATTTTTCATCGTTTGTAAAGATATACTGTGTGCTCAAGGGAGTGGAAGGGAGAGGGGTTTACCAAAATTTTCAGTGGAGGTGTACAGCATGCTCCTGCAACCCTATTACCCTGTTTCATGCCCGAATATGCAATTTTCCCTACCCTATTTTGGTTCTGCCCCAAACCTCTCTCCTCTGCAAGGCCTCTTTTGCGCTGCCTTGACCCATTATTCAATTTCCCATAGGAAGCCTCTGCAGAGGGGAGAGGCCCCAAACTTAAATTTCTTGTTCCAAACTCCCAATTTAGGTCAATTATGGTTCAAAAATCACACCATTTGGCCCCACCCATATCTATTTTGTTTTCATGAGAAACTTCCCCCATCATGTGTAATCTTGCCTCGTTAATATTTATTGATGGAAACACACTTCTTTCACAACAAATAAGAATCAAATTTCACCAAACTTTCACTTATATGTGTACTTTCTAGTTACTCTGTTTTTGCAAGTTTTTGCAATTTCGGAGTGATTGATTGATTGCATGCATGTGTTTTAGTTGTTGTGACCGGCCAGATTCTACATGTTTACAAGAGTTAATTAACTTAAATCAAATTTCACCCCGCTGCCTTTTCAAACTAGAAACTTCACATCACTTACCTGCTGCACTAAGAGATAAAAATATGGCCGCAGTCTGTTAAAGTTCACTCGTGCAAAATTCACATTCAGGGAGTAGCTTGGTGGTAGTTGAGCCAGCCTTGTTTTGAGTACTTGGCAAGTGTTCCAGTGAGCTTTACGCAAAAGTTTTAATCTTTTCTTTTCCACCTACAAAAGGTCACAAATAAAAGTATGCAAAATTTATTTAACGAGTTCTCAATATAAGTTTAAAATTTATAAATAAAAATTGCAGGCTAGATCATTTCCAATCACCTCCTCTTGACTTTAAAAATGTTATACCTTATTGTGTGGTTCATTTTGAACTTGAAGCTTCCCTCTCACTCGGTCATAATAAGCTCCATATTGTTTATAACTCTGATCAGTGTTGCTCTGGTATCTCCAGTTATTTCCTACAAATAGAATTCAACATTTTCAAGGGGCAGCATCATGCTGTTTTCGCATCAAAGTTCATTTCAAAGCTTTTTGCCTGCACTGAAAATCAACTGCCTTCATGCTAAAAACTTTGAATTCATGAAACCTCTGATGGCTAATCGTCCTAAATTACCTCACATTACAGACGTGTTAACATGCTGGGATTACACAGTAACTCTGTCTAATGGTATTATAAGCCCATGGCATGGTATTATTTTCCATTTCCTTATGCAGAAGGCACATATACCACTTAAAGTGCCTATAATGTCAAAATGTTTTTTTGCTCATCTAATTCTACATTTCACCTAATGAACTTCTACGATTTGGATAAAATGCAATTTTTTTATAAGTTTTTAAAGGCGTTCAAATTTGCCGCCATTTTGGTCCACCATTCGCACCAGTCTTCCTTGGTTTGAAGTGAGTCGTGACGTAGCTTCAGGAACATGTGATTTGGTTCATAACTTATCTGACTTGAAAACAAGAGGAAATTTTGCTTCAGAGTTGTCTACATTTAGTTGAAAATGCCGGAAAGGTGCATTGCCGCTCTTTGTAACAACGTTAATGATCCTGGAAACAACATCAGTCTTCATCGTAGGTTCCTGAACCTACATCACAGGCATCAGTCTCAAGGCCATTTTGAGCACATTATTCCTGTGATCAGCGGCAGGGGTTGACCGCACGAAAATAGAATTTTGAACTTTGTAAAGATTTGTAAAAAAATTGCATTTTATCCAAATCGAAAAATTTTTTCGGAGAAGCTCATTAGGTGAAATGTAGAATTAGATGAGCAAAAAAACGTTTTGACATTATGGGCACCTTAAGAGATAGAAAACATTTTTCTGTGTTTCTTTTGAGTTTCTAGAAACATGAGTGAAAGTTTGAGAGAACGAGAAATGCTGTCAGTGGGACCCCACATGCCGACCTGTGGGCAAGCATTTACACAACTTTTTAAAGTTCTACCAAATGTCGAGGAGTGTTAAACTAAGGTGTGAAAAAGAGAGAAAAAGCACTTGTTTATTTCAATTTTCCAAATGTAAATTTAACCTTTGCTCATGATGCGATTATATAAACAGCTTGTGCTGTCCCTGTGTTCCTACACGTACCAAGTTATAGAAAAAATGCTTCTGGCGCACCCTATCCTATGGTGTGTTTCTAAAATGTTACTAGATAAGATTTATTATTTGCTATAGTGTTAGGTGTTTATTACCTAGCACTACAGGCATCCAATTGATGCATCATTATATAGAACACAGAGCACAAAGAGTTATATGTAACTGTTGCCATTTTTTCACACATTTGTTAACATATTAATATGTTTTTAAGCGTTTAGTACAAACCTTTGGTTTGCCTTTTTGGATGATACACAAATTCAAATCTGTATTTTCCCTGATAGATCTCTTGTACCATTCTATCCACTGTTTTTTCCAACCGTTGCGCAGTCAAATTTGCATTAACAGGGGTGGCCTCTTCAACTGTACTGTACTCTGAATCATTTACTGGTTTTGTGGTGTTCACACTAAGATCCTGAAAATTTGAAATAATTGTTGGTGATCTTGAAGATGTGCTTGAGGTATGAGTAAAACCAAGGTCAGGATCAGTCTGAATGTTGTCAGACATATATTGAACCAAAGGCTGTGCCATTCCAAAGGTTTCATCTTGTGTATAGCATCCTAGGTTCTTTGGCATTTGTGAAGCAATGAAACCTTGTGAATATGGCAACCCACTCTCTGTTGATTCCAAACCAATGTTATCATTTCCTATATATGCAGTACACTTTGTCTGATGAAAGCTCATTTCAATGGCTGGGAGATTCTGTCTTTCGATCGGTTGACTAGTAATGTTTCTCTTAGAAGATGAGTAGCTGTCAAGAGATGATGAGTACGGGGGAGGTGACAGTGGCAAAGGTGGTAACCTTGGATACTCTTCATCTGGAACATGAAAGTGTTGAGTTTTTTTCATCAACAAAACAGAAAGTAAGTGACTTCGAGCAAGCTGTGCATATTTTCATGGCTGATACTAAAAAATAGCTATCTATCCAAAGCAACTATTACATGAGCAGAGCAGCACTGCAATAAAAGAAATGCATTCACAGTTTTCCCAGAACAAGTGCCTGCTTAGACTTTTAAGAATCTTTTAATAATTGGCCTATGCAAAGAGAGCTAACACGGAAACTATCAGCAAAGAAGTAATGAGAAGGAGGTGGACATGATTGGACATGTGCTGCAAATGGATAAGACATTCCCTCCCATGCATTGCAGTGAAGTGGGCACCGGAAGGAAACCGCAAGAGAGGAAGGCCTAGAGGGAGTAAAATTTCTGGCCCTACTCTCCGTATGAAAAAATGGAAATAATGAATTGCAGTTCAATTCAGCTTAGAATACGTTTGTTTACATATAAGGGGAATTTCCAGGTTTTTCAAGAGATCTGTACAGTGGTTTCATTAATGGCCGGGCACCGGGCAAATTGACCGGCTGTAAGGGTGATTTTGGTTGCCTGGTTTGACCATGGAGAGGAAAGGTTTTCTTGTAAAGAAGTTCAATTCAAAACGTTCTGCCCGCCTGTGAAAACCAGTTGCCCTGTTGCTGAAAATGTTAATGAATCTTTGGTCTCCCTCGGGTTGGTAGGCCGCTTTACCTGGCAAAGGTGGTGTCCAGTGAGACTTTTTGCATTTTTTCTTGAATCGGCATCTGCCATATTTGATGAACAATAAACACATCTCATTTCCAAAGGAATCTAAAGGAATAGGTATTCCTGATTTGGTAAATTTCACTCCAGTCGACTTGAAAGAAGAAATAAACAAAACAACAATCACGTTAAAATGTAAAATCTTGTGAGAGATCAGCTGGGAACTCAGCTTGCATAATCTCAAAACTATTTTGAAGTGTTCAACGATCAAAGTACAACGTTATAAAAGATAGCAAATTTTAAAATACAATTCCGTTTAATAACATTTATTTCTTGTAATCTTGAAACAAAACGACCTCTGATACTTACCATGCAAATTTTAAGTCACTTTCTCCGCCGCGATATGAAAACAGTCAGGCGACAGCTCACGAAACATAATGTCAGTTTACATGAAGTGCACCACTGACCAATCAAGAGGAACTAACTCAGAAATGGAATTTACAGCGTAATACTTGAAAAGTTGGCCATGAAATTGTGATCTGTGTATTTATTTGTAGTGTATCATCTGCTAATTTCGAAAAAAATGCTGTATTTGAGTATTTATAACCAAACCTTCCTTAATTTTATGGAGAGGTCTTAAATAGTGCGGGCGCGATATTTAATCTTCGGATAATCTTCGGTATCGTTTCGGTAATGCTCGGAATTCGGTGTGCAGGAATTTGATAGGGTGATGGTAGAGAGAAGATGTCATGTGATCTTGAATGAAGGCAATCTGAGTGCCTTCCATCTTTGAGGGGGGATTATCACCAAGAGAGCGGTTTTTTCGACGGAGTAAGCTTCTACTTTTAGTCCATTACAAGAGAGAAAATATTTTCAGCGATATCCTGTCTTTAAGTGCCCCCATTGCTTCTGTTGTAGGAATTAAAGAGAGATCGAATGACGGTTTCCTTGGCGCCTTCGGAGTGCTCCTTGCACTGCCGATCCATTGTCGCGTGCTAATGTAATGGCGGCTTTCATGGAGTAAAAAGTTGTAGCTTCAAGTTGACATGGAAAACGACAATGGTGGAAAAGTTCCGGTTTCTTCTCAAATCCAAGAGAATGATTCAGGAACAAAGTATACAATACCGGGCATTTTACATTTTATTCAACATGAGTGGGCCAGATTTGAAATGGATCGAGCACATTGGGACGTGGAGAAAGCCGAATTGCAGGTAAGCTTGAAATAGCTTTATTACTGCTTCTTCGTAGCTTTTAAATGTGAAATACGACCTTCAAACCATCCGTTAGTTGCTTTCCTTGTTTCATCGTACCGGTGTTCACGGGCTAAAAAGGTTGTTCGAAACCTTCGGCTATGCGTAATTCTCGTAAATGACCTTCGAAGTTGAGCTTAGCTGCGTAGTGTTATGATCCAATTTAAGGTTTACTTCCGAAATGTTTTCTAAACGTTTCGTCGCCGAAAGTGAATTGCAACAGTCGTTATTATCATGTTCTGAGGAAAAAGCTTGATTTCTGGTAGTAGTAAGGTATGAAATTGTGCTTGTTGATTGGAGAACCCAGAAATATCCGAACTCCCAGCTTCTAGTCTCTAGTTAGTCTTATCTTGAAATCTTGCGATCAAAGGCTTGTTCAAGGAATCTTGAGATATTGGGCTATAAAAGAAACTCCTTCAAAACAGGGTTGATTATGTTTAGTTGAATTTAAGACCCTGACTTTTCGATCTTGTCCGGACAAAGTGTTCTTTCAAAGGCTTTGGAAGAAAGGCTATGAGAATTGTGTTATTATTTTGAATTTCGTCCGTCTCGATCTCGAGTGCTCTTTCGATTGAATTTCCTGAAAGTTGTACGTTCCTCGTTTGACAAAGACAGATCGATGAACGATTTTTATAGGTGCGTATGTTTGCTTGGTTGTATCAAAGATCCAGAGCTTAATCGTTAATTTCTGGATGTTTATGTTTTAGTAAAAAATGGTTTTGTTTCAAGTTGATTAAATATGTCACATAGACAAGAGCCCCGCTTGTACACAGCTTGTGATCATTTCTTTGGAAAAATATTAGTGATGTCTGGCATTATAGGAATATATACATCCCATCATTTTATAAATTAGTATGTATTTATCTCAAATTTCGTGTTATATGATAACTAGTAAATTCAAACCTTGAGACATGATTAATTCAAATCTGATATCAGTGAAGTCTAGGTCATATTTTAACACTTATTTATCACTTTATAAAGGTTGCCTTGCCTGTGCCTTTATTGATTTTGTTTACAAACAACAGTATACTAAATACTTCACAATGTGGAAGTAATCAAACTAATGACCGATGAAATATCACACAATGCAAGAGTCAAGGTGACTTTCTTTGTGTAGAAGAGTTATCTCTGATGTGTTTACATGCAAATGAATAATTCAGTATCACAGGTAGTTATGGATCAGATGTTCTAGAATCACTGATCAACTCCCAATGTCAATACCTGTTGCTTTCAACCATCATTATAGAAAACTACTGTTCACTTGTCATTGAAATACCTGGCAAAGAAATTGTATATTTATGTTTAATATGTGTCTGGTCCATTCTTATTAAGCTGCCTGTTAACAATCATGAAAAAATTAAATTTGTAATTCTGTCAATCCTAAATTTTTGGCTCAATAATGTATTTGTTTTCATGACTTACGCGAGAGCGTAGTATTGCCACCTTTCTCTATCCTTCAATTTTCTGTGTCGGTATTTTATCGTTTGTGTAAAGACTTCAGAACATTACTTCCTTATTTCAGCTTTAGACCCTTGTGCCAAAAACTTAACTGAGAAACCTGTTTGGTTTTTTTTAATACTTTGTGGTAGTTCTTGTGTTATGCATGGGATGAGATATTTTTGCTGTTATTGTCATAACTGCTTGTAATATTTCTCATTGATAGTTTTGTAATCATGAATTTAGAAATAGCCTGATGTTCTTGATGTATATATTTATATTATTATCACTTTCACTTTTTGAGAGATCTAGAGCATACCTGCCAACTCTCACGCCTTGGATGTGAGTTTCACCCATGGGTGTGAGTCTCATTCCTTCAGGTTGAAAACCTCATTCTCATGCCTGTTTACACCTATGGACCAAAATCACACACTTTGATGAAAGATTTGAGCTATTGCGTGCTTTAGAAAAATATTATGTAAATTGGACCAATAAAAAATGTCTTATGTATTAACTGTAAACTTCCCCTAATTCTCCCATTTTCAAGAGAAAAGTCTGATTGCTTTGTCCTACAACTGGGACCATAAAATGTTTGAAATGCCTTCGAAAACCTTTGAAATGTCCTTGGAAATTTCCTTTGAAAATCAAAGCTCTCCTAGGATAAAAACAAACATGTGTACAATTGTTTGGAAAATACTAGAAGCAAAAAAAGTACTTGCTTGTGTTAGATGTATATTTCATTCAGTGGTTGTGTATAGTTTCATAAAGAATGTACACGCTGTCAAGGTTGAGCACAGTGTGGTTTAGTCTCTTGGTTTCCAGCTGTTAAAGAATGGTTTCATTTTTGTACATAACCTTGTAATGTCTCAATTTCTAGGCACGTATTGCATTCCTACAAGGAGAAAGAAAAGGACAAGAGAATCTTAAGCATGATTTAATTAGAAGAATAAAGATGTTGGAATATGCTCTCAAACAAGAAAGGTAATCTTTTAATAAACTTTTAGGTCACTACATGTTGCTGATGAATTTTGATACTACATTTAATCAGTGAATAATCGCTCTTGGTTAATTAAACTATATTTTTACAATAACTGGTGAAATTCTTGCCCACCCATTGGCTAATTTTCATTATCGATAAGCAGACAGGCACATGAATTTATAATTTATGCAATGCCTCAACAAGCAAGAGTGGACATTTTGACAATTTGTTATTGTTTTATTAGCGAAAAACCAACTGATGTCAGTTTTTCATGCATCTCTCCTGTTATTGACAATAAATTTCTTCATGGCATTGTCAAAGTAGTCTGCGGATCCACTCGGCGAGATCCCCAGCCACTTTGACAATGTCATGACGGAATTTATGATCAATAACAGGAGAGACACATGAAAAACTGATGTTAATTTGTTAAATATACAGTAAGTTTTCATATCAATTAAGTTGTCCAGTACCTGTACATGTGCATCCTAGTTATGCAACACTTTCAAATGGTATTCCTTGGAATACTAACTTTTGTTGTATCAGGGCTGTCATTAAGGGCCGTAACCGGTAACACCTGTTATGGCTGAGTATGGTTGATAGCCCCTTTATGTTATGGTTTTGAAGATCAAGGCTGCAGGTGACTCAAAACTTAATGACAGCCCTCTGGCAGGGTATAAATTAGTTATGCAATGCTTTCCTGTGATAAAACATGAAATATCCCACTTGTCACCTGTACATTTTCCTGGTATTAACCCATTGACTCCTACATGAAATTGCCTGCGACCCACCCCTAATTCCCTGGTGTTTTTGTGAAATATTTCAGAGCGGGCGAAAGCACAAAAATAGACCATATGCATAGTAACCACAGACACAAGATCAGGTTTCAAGACATCGTTTATTTAAAGTTGAATAAATGAAGGGCCAAAATATAAAAAGATATCAACAAAAAGAACTCAGCTTGATCTGTAAAACTGATAAGAAAACAAGAAATTATATTTTTTTTTCTTTGCCACGCGACAAAAGCCGAGAAAACTGATTATGCTAAAATGAGGACAAAACGAAACTGAATACAACAGGATTTCCACTCTTTTACTATAATGGATAACATTTGATAAAACACTGGAAAATAACAGCAAAAGACACATGTAAAAACCAATTTAAAAAGAAGAAATCCGATAATTTCTTCACCGTGTGACGAAATAATTCAGTGCAGTGAAAGAAAGATGAAAGTTGTACATCAAAAAGACGACAAAAACAAGGCAATTATTTTGGGATAAATCGTATTTCAAATGTGTTAATTAAGTCCCCTTTTAGTTCTTTTCTCAGGAGTTCTGTAGTTGCAGAATGAGACTCAAAAAACATATTTGAATGAAGCAAATACACTAAACAAACAAACCACAGGGGTCGCTGTAAATTAAATATGCAGAAATCCAGCATGCAAAAATACTGTTCACTTTTAAAACCTAAAATTCGCAAATAAAGGTAACCAAATGAAAGAAACGTGACAGGAAGTTCAATAACAATAAATTTTCATTCAAGATGAGGCCAAAAAAACTTATCTAAAAGCATAAAAATGTTCCAAATTTCACAGACGTGCTTCACTGCATGACCGCATGTTCAAATTAATTCTTCATGCTGAAGTGAAAGCTTGAAATTTTGCTGGCGAGTTTTCCAGTTATTTTATCGGCCGTGGCTTTACCAATTGTCCTAAAAGTTGAGTTCAACTTTGAAGTAATACAGTAACTACATTACCATTTTTGTTTTCTTAAGTCCAGGAAGCTGCTTTAGATCCGCGATCTGTATTGAAAACTCACTTGAAAGTGCACCGATCGTCATGTTTTCACGGCGGTTGAAGGAAGGAAAAATTTTTTACCAGAAAGGTTGGAGGACTGAACACCTTGATCTTCCATTCTGAGGCAACCTAAACATTGATTTATGTTTTTTCCTTTCTATTTTAAGTGCCAAAGAAGTAATTTCTCCGTTTTAGGTATGAAAACAAGACCCTGGAAGTTTGTAGCCTTGGCTCACAATATGCCATGATTACCTGCACTTTTCGAGTGCATCATTTTAAGACGAAAAACTGTCTTTCTAGGACCCCTAAAGTCCTCTAAAAATATGTGCAGAAAGCCGATTCTCATTGGTTTATCTGTCCTTAACAACAATAGAACAATAGGAGAACCAGAACATCTTCAGGGAGGGTAGGAAAGGCAATTATTGTCTTCATGTGCTTTTTTTACGGCTGGTTACAGCTGGCACAGGAAATTGGGGGGAGGGGGGGGGGGGGTTTCGCACGACCAGTTACGGCTGGCACGGGAGTCAATGGGTTAACACACTCTCCTACAGGATTGTGTATACCAAGAAAATTAAGGGACTTGTGTGATAGTCCATGGTATACCACGTGGAAGTGTTGCATAGCTACAAAGTGGTATATATTTTTCTTGGTTTACACACTCACCTTCATTTGACAAGGGGGATATTCAATGTTATACCACAAGGAAATCTTGCATAAGTATTTTATGCCGTGTCTTAAAAAATCCATTGGCCTGCACAATCGATTAAAAAAATGTGTGCAGTCCACAATGTTAAGGTTGAGTGTAATACTGTTAAGTAGACAATGGCTTTCTTGTATTCTAATTGGCTGCATTTTCTATGTCATGGTATAACATGCCATATGGAATGCAAAGCAGGCTCTAGAGTAAGGGATGGAGGTATTTAAGGTTACAGTATACCTTCGGGTCGTCAATTTTCTTTAAATTTGGATTTTTGGGTCAAAATAGTGGTCGAAGAATAATCTCTAGGTTCTGAAAAAAATTTTTGAAAAAGGCTAAATATTGGCGGAGAAATGGCGGTTTTACGTTTTCACCGGAAGTAAAAGTCTGCCTCTTGATTGACAGCCCTATGGTGTGTATGCAATCAACCGAGGCGATTTTTGCGGGAATTACCCATATGGATGTCACAAATTGACTACTCAGTTGATCAGCATTGTTGTTCTGACTGCCCAGCATTTTTTATATTAGGCGTGTCTCTATTAAGTTATAAGTAAACATAGACCACGTTTAAACCATGGACCAGTTCAAAAAAACGAAAACAGTGAAGAATGAATGAAAATACATCAGTGAGTGAAGAAGCGAAAGTTCGCCACGTGGATGAAGCTATAGTTATCGTATAAGGCGGGCAAATATATGTGGTAAGAGAAAAGAAAGGTTCTGTAAAAATTTCGGAACTTGACAGCAATAACAGGGATGCTGACAGAGACTCTTCTGATGAGTCCAATATCGATGAATCGTCGGACTCAATGAGACCATTTGAAATATTATCCATGCACAGTTGCCCACACACAGTTGCTCTCCACGCTGTCTTTTGTTTGTTTCCTTCGCTCAGCCACTCTAG